TATTTTATACATTGGACTCCAAGTAACTTCCTGTGCTGTAAAACTGAGAAGAGACTCCAGAGTATGGATTATTGGATTGTTTCTCAAACGATTGATATCGGTCCTTCTTCAGAAGAGAAGAGGGGGATGCAAGTACAGGCACAAGACTGAAGTCAGGAGATCTGAGCTCTCCTTTTGACTTTTCCTCTGACTACTGTGGTCTTGATAGATGTGTGTCTTTTGGGGGGTCCTAATTCATAGTCTCTAATGAAAGTGGTCCTAATAGTAGTCCCATTAAATAAATAAAATGAAAAATATAGTAACTTCTATTCAGTATAGAATTTACCTATATCTATATTTAGCTACTTCTGTCCAGCTATGCTAATAGTATTCAAAGAGTTTATTGAGAGACTTTTATGATATTTATGAAATACTTTGCGATTAATTTAGGAAATGCATTCTTTATTGTATAGAAGCTGGAAATAATTTCTTGCCCACCTGAATTTGCTCAGAAAATTATTTTTTTGGTTTGTGACATCGACAACTATTTATTATCATGTGAGAAGCTATGGCTTTTGTTTTGTTTGTTTGTTTTTGACAGAATAACAGACTCTTAAATGTTTCCTAAAAAGGTGAAAACTATCAGTATAGACAAAGACTTGCCTTTAACATATGTGGACATATTTCACTTGAAAGCATGGAAAAGTACTTTTTGATAATACAGAGTTCTACAGTTGGAAGATTTTAACTAAAGATTTTATTGCCTTTAGTAGGATCTTTTAATGTGTATTCTGTGAAATAATGTTCCTAACAGAGTGCAATGGTATTTGATGCAATTTCTTTTATGAGCTCTAGTGCAGAGGTAGCTCTGAGCCTCTTCAAGGAATAATTCACTGTCTCCTGGTTGCTTAAATATTTACAAGCAGCGAGTGTATTTCAAAATAAGTGCTTGTTAAAGGAGGAAAAATAAACAGGTCATTTTAAGCAATTGCAGCAAGAATCACTATATTTTTATGGATATAATCTGTATCTCAGATAACTTATAGTTAACTTTTAAAGAATTTGGAAGTAGGTCCTCCAAAAACTGCGCAAAATCAGAGTCCAGGGATCTGTTGAGTGGGTGGAGAGGAATTAGGAGAAAGTGGTTCAAGGGGAAACTTCCCTCTTCCTTATCCCTGTGTATAAAACTCACCAATGTAGGTTGAAAATAATTTGTTTTTACAGGTAGCTAGAGGGTTTAAACATGAAAATACAGTCTATCTTTTATTTTAGAGCAATTAGAATAGTAAATTTTTATGTTTGTCACAGCAAGTATTTACAGCAGCGCCGCAGTCTGCACAGAGACTTGGTTGCTATGTAAGGAATAGGCCTTGGTGAAAGAGTGGACACAGAAATCGCGTGGGCCAGACTTCATTTCTGGGATTTGATATATTAACTTTGGATTTCAGCTGTATTATTTCAAAGTCTCTGGGCTGGGTGTATGGCTTCCTGAGCTGGTCTGGAAGAGGGCTGTAATGGATACAGTGGGTCGTCCCAGTGAGGAAACTGACAGAGGTGTTTTGGTTCTCACCTTTGTAGAGGCTTAGTGTTGTCCTCCCAAAACGGGGCTGGCTTTCTAAAAAGAGCTTGGTTCCTTGCTGCCTGTTCCTGGTAACCCACTTCTGGTTTGTAATTAAACAACAAGCAAAGCACTGGGGGATTGTGTTTGTTCCACTTGATGTTGTGTGGACTTTGCATTGCAATGTCCAGTGGCAGTTTGGATGGTTTAGTGATTGCTAAAGCGTCAGAGAGCCCTGGCTCCTACTTAATTCTATCTGGATAGATAACATCAGGGCTACATTTCCAGTTACTCTTAGTCACATTTTAGAAAAAAACGCAGGTAGAGTAGTAAGTACTGTAGCAGGAAGACTTTCTTAAATCTATTTCATGGAACAGATCATCCTGAGTGCCATTATGCAGCACATGAAGGACGCTCAGGTGATCAGGCCCAGCCAGCACGGGTTCATGAAGGGCAGGTCCTGCTTGACAAACCTGATCTCCTTCTATGAGAAAGTGACCCACTTGCTGGATGAAGGAAAGGCTGTGGATGTTGTTTACCTGGACTTTAGCCAGGCCTTTGATACAGTCTCCCACAGTATCCTCCTGGAGAAACTGACTGCTTATGGCTCAGATGGGTGTACTCTGCGCTGGGTTACAAACTGGCTGGAGGGCCAGGCCCAGAGAGTGGTGGTGAATAGAGTTAAATCCAGTTGGTAGCCAGTCACGAGTGGTACTGGGGCCAGTTCTCTTTTATATTTTTATCAATGACCTGGACGAGGGGATTGAGTGCACCCTCAGGAAATTCGCAGACAACACCAAGCTGGGTGGCAGTGTTGACCTGCTAGAGGGTAGAGAGGCTTTGCAGAGGGATCTGGACAGGTTTGATTGATGGGCCACGGCCAGTGGGATGAGGTTCAACAAGGCCAAGTGCCAGGTCCTGCACTTGGCTCACACCATTCCCAGGCAGTGCTACAGGCTTGGGGCAGAGTGGCTGGAGAGCTGCCTGGCAGAAAAGGACCTGGGAGTGTTAGTCTACAGTCGGCTGAACATGAGCCAGCAGTGTGCCCAGGTGGGCAAGAAGGCCAACAGCCTCCTGGCCTGTGTCAGGAACAGCATGGTGAGTAGGACCTGAGAGGTGATCGTCCCCCCGTACTCTTCACTGGTGAGGCCTCACTTCAAGTACTGTGTCCAGTTTTGGGCCCCTCACCACAAAAAAGACATTGAGGTGCTGGAGCGGGTCCAGAGAAGGGCAACGAAGCTGGTGAAGGCTCTGGAGAGTAAGTCTTATGAGGAGAGGCTGAGGGAGCTGGGATTGTTTAGTCTGGAGAAGAGGAGGCTGAGGGGAGACATTATTGGTCTCTGCAACTACCTGAAAGGAGGCTGTAGAGAGGTGGGGATCAGTCTCTTCTCCCAAATTACAGGCGATAGGACAAGGGGAAATGGCCTCAAGTTGCACCAGGGGAGGTTCAGGTTGGATGTCAAGAAAAATTTATTCACAGAAAGGGTTATCAAGCATTGGAATGGGCTGCCCAGGGAAGTGGTTGAGGCACCGTCCCTGGAGGTATTGAGAAGATGAGTTGACAAGGTACTCGGGGATATGGTTTAGTGTTGGTTGGTGGTGTGTGAGTGTGGTGGTGCTTTGGTTTTTTTTTACGGTTGGACTAGATGATCTTAAAGGTCCCTTCCAACCTAGGTGATTCTGTGATTTTTATGTTCTTGAATTCATTGAGTTCATCTGTGGTGGAAAATCTGATCTGTAGAGAATAGATTATCATATCTAGGACTTTGTCTAGAACAGCAAAAATGGTTGACTGCAGTTCATTTGTTGTCCCTCACAAAATGATTTTGGGTTGTTTTTCTTTTTTTTTTCCTTGACAAAGTTGTTCTTTGGTGTTAAAATTAATTTCTGTGCACCTGTTAGAGAGGAGTAGATGGTGGAACATTTTTAGTCCCCCCATAAATTCCGTAAATTTTATAAAGAAGTTTGGAGGGTTTCCATGGACACCAATGTTTTGTTAAAAATTTTGTCCAGAACCAAGAACAGAATCGGGACCACAAGTTATGAGAAGAACCTAGAAAGGAGGGAAAGGACTTCAGTGTTCCCAACAATTTACAGTCTGGTTACTGCCTGTCCCACGTATGAGAGAAATGAAGTGAGAGTGTGAAAGTACAAAATCCAAGTACCAAATACAGTGTCATGTGATACTTCAGAAAATTTCTGCAGTATTGCCTAGGAAACATGCTGCCAGTTTGCAGTCAGCAGCCTACGCATCTCATGGCTCCGAGTCACTGTTGGCATCTCGGGAAAGCCCCTGGGACCATCTGTAGCTGAAGCGTATTTTACTTGTGTCACAGTCTTAGTCCTCAGAACAGGGCTTTTGAACAGACTTGCTTTGGCAAGTATGGCAAGCCTGCAAAGCCCTTGTTTTGTTGTTTGGCTGCTTCCTCAACACTCTAGATTCAAACTTCTGCACCTTTCTTCCTGTAGGTACCTAGTGCATGAAGCAACTGCTGGCCAGGGTTAGTTCTTCACTTCAGACTAGATCTTTTGATTCTCCATATAGGATGTTGAGATAACTATTTCATTACTACTTCCAAGAATTATAGGCTACCTTTCATTTTTGTACGTTCCTCCATATGTTCTCCTAAAGAACTGATAAAAAAAAAAGATTCTCTAGATTACCTCTATTGATCAGGTGTATCGGTTTCCATTTGTGGGATTCTGAAGGAGATGAAAACTGCTTTCAGTAGCACTGCTCTGCAGTGCACACCTATGGACTGTTTCTCAAGATCATTCAGGATAACTTCCAAACTTTCCTTTGACATATTTTGTCTGATGTCATGTTTCCACAGCACTGGTTTGTTCAGCAGTGTACATGGCAGATGCCATGGGCTTTGGATTATTTTAAGACTTAGTGTCTTCTGAAAGAGAAGGGGTTTCACACATAGCTTTACATTTCTCAACAAGAAAGCATAAGGTAAGACTGAAGGATGGACTACATTGATTAGTCCCTGATTTTTAAATGTTAACTTAGAATGGTGGTAGATAAGAGAAGGTATTCCTTTAATTACTGCCCGTGAAACACACCCTACATCAGGCTGCCCTGTGGGGTTCAGAGCATCTGTCATCGTATTGCATTGGAGCCTGCTTTCTGCGTATTCTGAGTTACATCCCTGGTGCATCGCATTGGCGTTGGCCATAGACGCAAGGCTGACAGAGTGTTTCTTGGACAGATACAGAAATCTGTAAGTCCCTCAGGCATTCCTCCATACAAAGTCATTGGTGTGATTTCCTTCCCTGACAAGTAGGTGAGATGCTGTAGCTGCCGCTTGTCAGAGCTGTGTTGACCTCAATGGAGTGAATGTGCTGGAACCAAAGTTTTGTCTGAGGGTTACCTATCCATAGGAAATATTTCTTAAGGGGATGTTTGTGTATCCAGTATTAAGAACAGAAACTGATTTTTTTCTGTCTGTCTCTTTAGGTCTCCAAAAGGTGATGTCCACAGTGAAGGATATGTCTTGGAGGTGGAGTGCTGCTCCTACTTAAACCAGCTTTCAGACAAAAAGGAGATACCTGATTTTATTAAAAAAGTGAGTAAAAAAAAAAAGGCAAAAACCAACACACAGTATGCTTTTATTTGCACTATAATTACTGCTTCTAGTTCTGTCAACCTGACAACAGGAATATGTGTATGTTTTGTGCAGTTGTAACACTGCACTAGAATTTGGGTTTCTCTCATTTTAATTATCTGAAGGGCAATTATTGAGAGAAGCAAGTTTGATCATATTATTATGAAAAAATTATTTGTAGTGTCACAAGAAAGTGTCCTTTCACAGATTGTATCAACTAAATTACCAATGGAGAAGACAGTCCTGTAATGGTGCAAACATTTGAAGCTGAGTCAATATAGGTAATTTCCGTTTTAGTTCAAAAATACCCTGTTGGATAGTACTGGAGTTAAAAGACCTATTAACTCCCAGAATCCCCCAGATTATTTAAATTTTGTTTCAGTAACGCATGATTTTAGTTAGAAATGGTACTGGTAATCTTTGTCATTCAGAATAGCGTTGCTTTCAATAAACTTTTATATATACTGGGGAATTTGATAAAAACACTGCAATTCTTCATTTGTTGCTTTCTTTTTCAAATTATTTTTGATGCTGTAATATTCTGCCAGACTGGAAATTAGCAGGTTATGTCCATTTTAGTGAAGACAGATTCATTGTGCATGTTTCAAATTTTGCAGCATCTGTTGTGTCCTATTGCATGTTATAAAAACTAGCATTAAATACTATATTTACTTAGCCACATGGTGTAAGAATAGTGTGAGTAGGCACACTCCCCGAGCTTTAATCCATCTTGCAGTGATAATGGCTAAGAAAATTTTGTTGAACAAATTTCAGCACAGGCTGTATTAGCTTGACAGACTGCACTTATGTTCAATCTTTTCTTCTTACTATGAATTGTAAAAGCTGGATTAAAAGTAATGCAGCTATGAGTACCTTATCATCGTCGTTGTACTTAAAGATACGTGTATTTGGGTATCAGAACAAACTGAACTTTTCTGAATGATTACTAATGCTCCAAAGGTTGAGTATATTTTGAGTTATTGAGTTGATTCTGAGTTTTGTTTCAGGGTTTATTGTGGAATTGCACTTTTATTCTGGCACTATCTTCGATATATATGTCAATATATTCACACTTGGGCAAAACTGGTGTAGTTCTTGTGTATCAGTTCCAACATGTTTGATTTTGTTCTTCAGTTCTTTGAGACAGACTAGAAATATAGACTTATCTGTCACAACTGGTAGCAAAATTTTATATCATTGCAACAGAAAATTACTTTGTATTTGTAACTTCAGAAAGAGTATGGCTAACATGAAAACAAAATGACAATCCAGGAGTCAGCTTATTTCCATAAATATCCAATTCTGAGACTCTTTAGAATGCTTTTCTAGACATGGAAATGTTTCTGTTGGTAGAAGCCATTTGATGATAAGGTTATGAAGATGCCTTTTTGAAATATAATAATTTAAATTTTAATAGCTAAAATGTATATTTACTGTTTCTCTGTGGCTGAGTATGTCGCTCATCCTCAGATGTTATTTGATGTAGAGGAATTTGAAGTTCTTTGAAGCTGTTGCTGTCAAGTGTGTGCTGTGTCACTGTCTATATCTGATTAAACACATTGTGGAAGCCTCAACACATTTATGTAAATCTAATTCAGAAAACAGGACTCGTTTGGGAATGGGAATTAATTGTTGTATTAACTAATTTGTTTGAGCAACAAAAATGTCCATTACTTTTAAGGGCATATAGAACAGATGTTTACAAACAAAAGAAATGAAAAATAAAGGACATTCTTCAAAGAAAGTTGTAACAAAAAGCTGTTAGAGAGGGCAATTGCTTGTTTCAAAAAAGAACAACCCTTTAATTCTTCTCAAACTATGGAATACAATTGAAGTTAATAGAGTGTTGTAATTGAATACGCAAATCCTTGATCACAAAGCTTTTCATAACAGGGGCTTTTAGCACAGGTTTACCATCTTACTGCATTGCAAATTACTGTATTTTTTAGAAAAGATAGAGTAGCCATATTTTCAAAACAAAATAACAAGTTAAAATTTTTTCCAACTGTGAAATCGCTAGAAAAAACTCCTCTAACCTGAGAAAATTAATTTTATTAATTTTATTATGCGCTACTGAGCAAGTATTGTTTACATGGAGTTTGAATAAGGATGTAATTTCAGTAACTTCTTTTCTTTTTGTTGAATTGAAAATGCATGTCATGTTGAATATTAACTGCTTGGTCCTGGCAAACACAAAACAGTTTTGCAGTGGTATACAGCGTAGGTAATATTTTTTTTCTTCTTCTGTAACTCCGTATAAATGTTTAAGAGTAATGAAATAGAAACAAGGAAGTTATTTCACCTGGATATTTCACTGAAACAAAGTGTCTCAGTACAGCTTTGACTATAAAACATTCAAGAAATGCCAAAGAAGACTCTCTGGTCAAACCTGTGTTCTGTTGCTGAGATCCTCTTGCGCTTTAGGACTCTGTCCCTGATGTCTACTCTCTTTTGTACTTTCTTGCCAGCACTGTTTTCCAACCACAGTAAAAGCCATGGAAGACAGGACACAGTTGAGTATTGGGCCCATAATGTTGCACAGGATATACTTTCCTGTACCTTAAAATCATGTTGACATCATGATATTCTGTTTGTTCTTTCATATCAATGTGGATCAGCAGCTCAACATATCCTAGGGAGCTCAAACAGTCCCATAATGCCTTTGTCATTTAATTTCTGGGTAATAAAAGCAGTAACTTAACTGTTGCGTATGTACTTTACTGCTATATTGGTATTAGCTCTCCTGTCTAGCTCTCAGGCAAAACAGAGATTAAAGATTTGATCATCTCCTTTTAATGAGCGAAGCTAACTTCTGAACTTCTGATCACTATGGCTCAGATCATTCTGAAGTTGTTGCGAGTCAGAGATGTTACTTCTAAGATACTGTATTTTGTAATACTTTGACTTCTGTCTCATGTAAAATAGAGTAGCCTTTAATTGCTTCCTTAGTTGCTCTTTATTTCTGTGTATCTTGTTATCATTTTTTTCATCTGAGAGTGTTCTCCTGAATCTGCTGAGACACGTAAGGGAAGGAGAAGCTAGGCTGACATCCCAAGAAAAGAGTTATTTTGGATACGCAGTCATATATGAATGCCAAATATGTTTCTCATGACCCTTGTTTTCCACATCAATCTGAGTTAAATGCTCTAGAAAAACTGTAACAGGCAGAAGGCTTTGCTCCTATGTTCACATCTTTGTGGTGTTGATGAAAGGTTAGTAAACAGAAGACAATTTCTTTACCATTTCTTCCCAGTTCTGACTTTTTAAAATTTAGGAAGCACATTTTTGTCTCCTTGGTTGCCTGCTTAATAATACTCTGTCAGAAGGAAATTCTTGTATGTTAATTATTATTTTTTTGAGTTTGACCCAATTGCAGAGTTCATATTTCTTGTCCTTGTGGACTCATTATCCTTCCCTGAGGAAGTATGATAAGCATGGAAAAGCGTGGTTTGAAAATGCTGCAGCTTAACTGAAATCCAAATGCAGATGTCTCCCTTTTATTTTTTTGACTAGACAAGGACCTCTCCCTACTGGTCTGTCCTTAATTGACTCAGAAATTAGGCTGATTTCTTCCAACAAACTTAAGGCTGTACAGACGAATAATTGGTTTTGTGTTTTCAGCAGTGGATGGGTTTAGCTTGGAACACAACTGCCATCTTGAAACACCAGCACCACACATCTTGAAACACTTATCTTGCAGCAAAGTCTGCTGTATGAGACAATGTTTGTTAAATCTTCTCATTGCTGTTCCCTCTGTTCATAGTCTTGGTGAACTTCAGTGAGTGTACAAGTGCCCTTACCAGCACTAGCTCTGAAGGTGACAGTAACATGTCACTCCTTTAGGTGATCCTCTGAACAGCTTCTTTAGTCAGAAGTACCCCAGAAATAATCTTAACTCCTGCAAATGTAGTGACGTTTTTGTTGACATTTATTTTCTAGTAATAACATAGCTGGGCCAATGAAGTGATGGTACCTCTCAGACTTAAGCAAGTGGGACCCCAGGGAGGAATATGCCAACAAAACGCATTGCAGGAACACTGCCACCCATGTACTTACTTGTTCTGGAGTTGCCATCTGAAACAGTGACCACCACTTCTCCCTGGTACAAAGGCAATTTGTGTAGGGAATTGGATTATTTTGAAAGAAAGGCCGTACAATACTAACACTTCTATGAAGACTTCACATCCTACATTGCTGAAAGATCTACCGTATTTGAGCCCTCTTGATGGCTCTATGGAATATATGGTATCAGCTGGTATTTACTGGAATTTTTCTAACTACCTTTTAAAACAGAATATGTTATCAGGAATAGAACTGGCATGAGGAATTAGTATGTTTCAAGTGTTAGTTTATACACTGGAAAGTAATGCACATTACTAGTGACAAGTTTAAACTGTAGCTGATCTTACCCAGTGTACCCTGAAAGGTGAGATGTTTCTCGGAGGGGTTCGATCCCCCCTGCCCGTCATTTGCCTTCACTCCTTTGGAGGAAGCAGCAGGCAGGAGACCGGCTGAGCTGTTGGGTAAGGAACTGCTACACACCCCCTACGACCACAGGTCAGTCTCACTGCGTGTTTCTCCATATTGATGTTCTTATCAAACTACCAAGATGCTTTTCCTGCTCTCTTTGTTTTTTCCTTCCATTCATCTGTAGCTGTTCTGGTGTTGTCATGATAGCTACTATCTTAGTTCATGCACATCGTTTTCTGGAGAGTCATCTGTGTTAAGGCTCTAGTTGGTGAAGAATTTTTTTATTAGTATTGCTGTTAAAAGGCAACTGAATTCTCCAGCTTCTTTTAAGGTGCTAGGTGGAAGCAGAGTTGGAGTATTTAGGAGGATTTCTGTGTCTCGTATAAAAGAAAAACTGATTGCATATCTGAATTCTAAAGAGCTTTTTAAAAGTTTTCCATAGATGTTCCTAGTCAAGGGAGTGATTCAGCCCAAACTTCTTACATCGTTTA